TGATACATGCTTTATGGGACATCAGTTAGTTTCCCCCCCCGGATATTACTATTTCATGATGTCTCTGTTAATGCCAATTTCATTCTACATGCATTTTTCATTCAACAAAACCAAACCAAACCCCAGATTTTCATTGGTGACATTATAGCATTAGGAGACATGTGCATTTTATGGAAAATACAGACACTTGGTAGCACATTGTTTCCATCATTGGTACCTTGTTTATTCATCGTGGTTAAGGCTACAATTTTGTCACAGAGGTCCCGGTGATCATGGAAATCATGAATTTGAATAAAGTCCATGAATTGTTGGTAGTTGCTGTAAAAACTGAGTGGTGTTGCGACCTAGTGCACAGGGTTGCAATGTCACTCAAGTTTGGCCTGTCTACCTCTGCCTCCATCTACAGAGGGGCAGACGGACCAAACCTGAGTGGCATTGCAACCCATGTGCCCGGTTGCAAAGCCTGGAGCAGGGAGCTGGGCCTAGTTCTGTGGCAGAGGAGCTGTGGGTGGTTGTAGGGTGAATGTCAGGGCCGCCCAGAGGATTCAGGGGGCCTGGGGCAAAGCAATTTCGGGGGCTCCTTCTATAAAAAAAAGTTGCAATACTATAGAATACTATATTCTCGTAGGGGCCCCTGCGGTGACCGGGGCCTGGGGCAAATTGCCCCACTTGTCGTCTCCCCCCCCCCCAGGTGGCCCTGGTGAATGTGGGGTGGGCTTGCACTCCAATCTTCCCCCTGAATTATTGTTTTTTCTCCTACACCTCAACGGGAAATTTACTAAACATTTGTGTGCCAAAATTGTGGGCTTTATCATGGTTATAACTTCAACTTGTAAATACAACAGTTTATTGTACAGTGATCTCTACAGAGATCCAATGCAGTCACCCACAAGTTGAATTCCTGCTGTGAAATCTTCAGGGCATTTAAATGTTTGATTGAGAAAGCGCTAAAATATAAATGTAGGAGTCAGTGACATTTCCTTGGCCTGATGTTGTTTTTAAGGCCTTTGGTAAACACTTTCTATCTTATATGTTTTACAGGGCATCTCTATAAATATTTCCCTGACATTCATTCTTAGAGAAGGAAAAGCCTCATTGTGGTTAATTAGTTTGCATGCTGTGATGAAAGGTATGTTCTGATCTTCAGTGTTTGTTAAATGTTAAATATCTTACCTCTGAATGAGGAGTGTTATGGGTTTTTTTTAAGAAGACCAAGATTTTGCCTTTGCTTGAGTGAAAGATTCATAATCACTGACTCATCGCTGAATAATGAGGCTGCTTCTAAAACAAAATATTTTGTTGTTTCAATTACTAGACCTGCTTATTAAAAACAAGTGAGAGTACAGCATGCACATTAATAGCTTTAAAACATGAGGCCAGAATTTTCAAAAACATCTCGTTGCCTAAATCTCGTTGCCTAGCTTGTTGCCTAATTGAGCATCCGAATGAAAGGTGGGGTTGGGGGGAAGCATAAGTGATTTTTCAAAGGGATTTTCAGAGGCACAGGTAGGAGTCCTTCCTCTGAGGCAGCCCATACCCAGTTTAAGAAACCCACATGGGTGCTTATTCCTTTACACTCCTTATCTTCCATTCATGGTCATATGGAAAACCCCTCTCATTGGTTATTCCTATGTATTTTCAAAAGTGACTTAGGAACCTAAATCGATGTCATGCAGACTCCTCGGTGCCTATACATTTTTTGAAAATGGGAGTTAGGCTGCTAATTCACTTAGGCACTTTTAAAAATTTTACCCTTCCATCCTTGCACAGGTACCTCCTCCAAACTCTAAATAAGTAATATGTGGTTATTTCTTGGAAGCTCTGTGTAGGCACACTGAACTTAGATTTCATTTGCCCACATCAGAAAGATCTGCCACATTTGCCACGCACACAATTAACACCAAACCACTGAAACTGTCATTTCATTTTTTTCACACATTTTCTTTTATATTCCGTATATCACTGGAATTTAACACACTTCCTTCCCCGCAGCTCACTGTCCCAGACGAATGGACTGTAATATAAAACAAAACAAAACCACAAGAAGGACCAGCTTCCTCCAGGACAGAACTGACTTCCTCCACAAATTCTGCAACATTAACAACCTCCCTCAGAACACTGTCCTTGCCACCATGGATGTCACTTCTCTGACACCAACATCCCTCACAGTGATGGTATAGCTGCCTGCCTCATATATTTACAAGACAATGGACAACCCTCAGATATCCACCCCAAACACATGGCCAAACTCGTCCATTTCATCCTCACCCATAACAATTTTACGTTCAGCAACAAAAACTTTCTCCAAACCATGGGAACAGCCATGGGTACTAGGATGGCTCCCAAAAGTACCAAACTCTTCATGGGCCACCTTGAATAAGAATTTCTGGACAAGTGCACTATGAAACTAATGATATACCTGAGATACTTCGATGATATTTTCATCCTCTAGACAGACAACTTAAATTCCATCATAGATTTCTACCACAACTTCAACAACCACCACCCAGACATTATTCTCTCTCTGGAACACTCCATCAACTTCCTGGACACCACAATCAGCTTCAACAATGGAACCTTATAAACATCTATATACAAGCAACCCAAGGATCACCACACCTACCTTCATAGATCTAGTAACAAACCCCAAACACACCAAGAAGTCTTTATGTTTACAGCCCGACACTCATACCACAGAATATGCTCTGAGGAGAAAGTCCGGGATATACACCTTAACACACTCAAAACTGCCTTCAGCAAACAAGGATACTCCACCAGAGAAGTAGATTGCATCATGAAATAGGCCACCAAAATACCCCGAGAGAACCTGCTTCAATACAGAAATAAAACCCTCTCTGACCGCACACCCCTCGTTGTCACCTACCACCTCACCCTGGAACCCAAACCGGGTACCATCAAACAAGTACAGTCCATACTCAAGGCGGATCCCATCCTAAAATCTTTCCTGACCCCCACCCCCACTTCTGACCTTCAAACAACCCCCCAACTTCTCCAAGCTCATTATCAGAAGCAACCTCCCCAGACCAGGACACACCAACTCAAAGTGGCACCAAACCCTGCCAGAACAACAGATGCAAAACCTGCAGACATATCTCTACTGCTACAATGATCAACACCCCCCCCACAACCCACCTTTCAAGATCCCTGGGTTCTACACATGCCTATCACATGTGGTGTACCTCACCAGTGCACTAAATGCCCCAATAACAACTATATGAGTGAAACCAGATACTCTCTATGTTGTCAAATGAACTCACACAGGAAAATGATAAAAGACAAAATCACCATATCACCTGTGGGTGAACACTTTTCACACAGTGATCACTCTATATCTGACCTCTCAGTCCTCATCCTCAAGGGGAACATGCACAACATTTTCAAAAGATGAACATGGGAGCTTAAATTCATAACTTTGCTAGGCACTAAAAATCATGGTCTTGATACAGACACTGGATTGATGGCTTATTACAACAATTTGTACTCCACTAACACCTTTTTTTGTCCTATGTCTACAAGGGCGTTAAACAGCTACTTCACCTGGAATGTTCCCTTAGCACATATTCCATGTGTTCAATCTTTTATTTAGCTGTGACACTCTAAGTACCTTCTCATACCTGAGGAAGAGTTCTGTGTAGCTTGAAAGCTTGTCTCTCTCACCAACAGAAGTTGGTCCAATAAAAGATATTACCTAACCCACCTTATCTCTCTAATAAGAAAAAAAGAGGCAGACAATGAAACATAGGGGAAAATATCACAAAAGAAAAAAGCTGGTCTCAGCAAGTCGTCTGGTCCAATTGTGATAGGGGCAGAAGTTCTGCTTCATCCAACAATTTCTGCTGCTGCTGTGGCCAGTGTTTTTTGGTACTTTCCATAAGATGAGTAGCTTCTTATTGCCAGTCTGAGAGAAACAACTGTACTACTGAGCAACATTATTGGCCATGGATTTCCCTCTCCTTCTCTACTAAGTTAGCTGTCTTCTCAAGCTGAACATGGCTAAAACAGAGCTTCTAATCTTCCCCAACCAAGCCTCCCTACTACTTCCTTTCTTGGTTACTATGGAAAATAACACCATCCTTGCCTCCTTCTCATCTTCAGCTTGGACCTCTCTCTAGGTCTTCACCTCCAGGCTATGTCTAAATTTTGCCAATTCTTTATGTAGACCATCTGTAAAATAGGGCCGCTCCTGTCCATCCAGCTAAAACTTGTGAAAACTCTCATCATTGCATGTCTTGATTACTGCAACATCCTTCTCTTTTTCATTGACAAATGCAATCTTGCTCACTCATATCCATTCAGAATGCTGAAGCAAAGATCATTTCCCTAGCCTGTGGCTTTGACCATGTCACTCCCTCTTCGCATTCCCCATTGTCTCCTCCTTCTCTACTGCATGAAACATAAGCTGCTTGTCTTCACTTTCTAGGCCCTTCACACTCTATCCTCATACTACCGATCCTCTCTTATTTGTTACCAAGCTGTTGACATCAGCTTCCAATGCACATTTGTTAAACTTTCCAACAAGCACCTTTGTGCTTTCTCATGCTGTCCCTCTGCTAGGGAAAGAAAAGGTTAAAGAATATTTAGGTAAGTTAGATGTATTCAGGTCAGCAGAGCCTAATGAAATTAATTCTACGGTGCTTCAGCTAATTCCTGAAGTACATCTTGGAACCATTAGCGATTGGAACTCATGGAGGATGGTTGAGGCCCCAGAGGACTGGAGGAAGGCAAACGAAGTACCCATCTTTAAAAAGAAAAAAGGACTTGGAGAATTATAGACCACTCAGCCTAACTTTAACTGGAAAGACACTGGAACAAATTATTAAACAATCAAACAATTAATCTGTAAGCACCTATAGGATAATAGGGTTAAAAGTAATAGCCAGCAAGGATTTGTCAAGAACAAATTCATGTCAAACCTACTTAATTTTTTTTTCTTTGAAAGGGTTACTACCTTGAGGGGTGGGGGGTGGAAAGCACTAGACATGATATATCTTGATTTTAGTAAGGCTTTTAACATAGTCCTACATGACATTCTCATAAACAAATTAGGGAAATGTGAAACACATCAAAGATTGTGAAGTATTCAGACAATACAATAATGGGGGCCATACAAGTACCTAAGATAATAGAGTGGGGTGAGAGAGGGATCCAGTAGAGAAAGAAACACAATAGAAGGTTGTCTTTTTTTGTTCTTGTTATTCCTTTTCTGTAGTCTCCTTTCTTTGGGGCCATTGTGTGACATTTTAGGCCCGTAAGGTCTTCTGTCACTGCCTGCCCTTTAACCATGGGTACCTCTCTGCTGTGCAGCTTTGGCTCAGAGCCCTGATGCCAACAGCATGCCCACAGCACGGTAGCCTCACCTTGGCTTCCATCATCCTGGTTACTCCTTGTAGGGGGACACCAACAGTCCTTTCGGTTCTGAGTCTCCCTAAAACTATCTCCTCTGTAGTGTCCAGTCCCTCTCACTGGGCCCTCACAGAAGATATTAAGTTTGCTGCCTCCAAAGAGACACCATATGTACCAGCCTGCTAGTTTAGCTGAAGGCCCACCCACATGTAGTTGAAATACACAGCATTCAGATGGTTTGTGGTAAAACTAAAACGAAGTTCATTAACCAAAAATTTAGGATTAAGTGGGCTTCTAGTACGAATGAAAGAGAGATGAAAAGTTACAAACTATACATGCTTTCTAGTGATGACATTTAACTTCAGGAAGTTACAGTCTGAACATAAGGAGGTTTCTTCAGTTTTCAGAGACTTTCAGCCTCCTTGGTTGAAAATTTCTATTTGTTTTTCCTCAGATATACAAGAGCTCTGGCCACTTGTATCTGTCCAGTAATGGATACCAAAATGGCTCTCTATCTTTGCTTATCTCTTCCAAAGTTCAATGACCTTATCTCAGGAGGCAAGGAGGTTTCTTGTAGTTGCATCTTCCATTGTTAAGAGGCCATCCCCCACACTGGTTTGCCTGAGGACTTTATCTACTTTGCATGTAAATGTAATTTCGTTGTCTCTTCTTCCTCAATTTACATTGGAAACACATTCAAGCAGGCAGAACCACAAACCTTTGTTTAAGGTGGGGATGTCTTAAACCCTGTTTGCCAAACACATTTTAAGAAAATATTTCCAGCACGTATTTATAATTATTCGTATATCAGCTGTACATACACCACACACTAATATTAATGATCAACATGTCACTAGTTTACATATAATATCTTCCAGGGCACCTTTTAGGTACAGATTATGACAATAGCGAGTTGGAGCAAGGAGAGTGCCAGGCCTGATATGAGTTATATTATGGTGTGCCCACTGCCAGTTGGCACAGAAGGGCTTCCTAGGTCACACATTGCTATCCCCTTTGCTGTGGCCACAGGGGGACCCAGATGGAGTGGGATTAGAGTTGTCTTGTGCAAGGTGGGGGATAGAATTTGGAAAGCCAGCTCAGAGGTCTACACTGGGAATACATTGCAGAGCCAAGTTGTGTGTGGCTCTGTCAGGATCTCCGTACAATGGCTTTGGCAGCGCAGAGCTGGCAGATGGCCTGGGGGCTGCCACTACGCAGAGCCACTGCTCTTGTCCTTTGTAGAGTGGTAATGCAGTGGGTGGTGAACTGCAGTAGCATCCACAGAGGATTTTTTCCTTTTGTCCTACACTAAGCCTGACTACTTGGGCAGGGTGCAGGAAGAGGACTTGGTGCTCTATGTTTCGATGTATTTTGTTTGTCAGCCTGCCGTGATGAACGCACATAAGACAAAGACTAACACAGTCCATTTTGGTGTAATTTCCCTAGGTTCCAAATTATCCATTTCTTTTTTTAAACTATCACCAAATAATTTGAGTTCTCATGTTAATCATAACAGGCACCCCGGGAGTTTGGAATTTCTGTACCTCTACTGCAGACGACACATCTTTGTTATTGCACATCTCCTACAGAAAACACACATACACTGTAGTCATTGTAGACAACAATGAGCAGTTGGCTCATAATTTCAATTTATTATCAAAAGGTTTTCCTCAGACGACAAACTCAGAAAGCTAAAATGAACATAGTTTTTTAAATACAGTATACCCATTATAGAAGTCATTGGAGGTATCTGGTGTTTATTTTTGGAAGTCTTAACTGGCTTCAATACAAGAAGCAGTAAGTTTCTTGGCAACCTGCACAAGGGCATTTCATATATATCATAGTGTATTTAAAGCCTTTTGCCAGTACCGATTAAGGGTCCAATCTTGCAAACACTTGTATAACTCTGACATAACCAGTCTCATTGACTTCAAATGGACTACTCACATCAACAAAGTCAAAGTATTTACTGGATCTGTCCCTAAAAATTGAAAAAGTGAGTCTGAAAAGTTGTTTTTTTGTGTGCATCCCTTTAGAGATCTGTTTTATAGGCTTTGTCTTATTATATCATACTATGTGTAACTAAAATTTCTCAATTATATGCCGCCACTGATAAAATATATAACAATAACTTCAAGTCATAAGTGTAGCTCAGAATTAAATATAAAAACTATGATTTATATATTACTACAAATCTTTTAAAAAGACCAAGTTTAGAGAAAGCAAGAAAACTCTTAGAAAACTGTGAAGGAGTCTTTGATCACAACATTACTGATTATAAACTCAAAAATTAATAAATTAGCTACATTTTCATTTTGGCTGGAAAGTAGTAAATAGTGAATTCAGCCTTTAAGCATTGGAATAATTACTGAGAAATTATTTAAGTGAATTACAACAGGTCTTTGGACTTTTCTAATATAAATCATTTCAAGTAAAAATGAAAACAAACATTTGGTAGAACACATTTATCATGACAGAAGAGGGCACAGAGTCTGACATTTTTTATAGGAACTGTTGTCTCATTATATTTTGATGTCCAAGATAATGTGTTACTTAATATCTTCTTCCTCCATCTGATCAGAAATATTAGCATAAATTCTCAAAGGAGTAGATGATAAAGTGTTCCCCAGTGAGAATAAAAAAATCTGTAGACCAAATGGGAAACAGAATTAAACTATAATAACAATGTTGTTTAAAAGTGAAGCAATAGGTACACAATTAAGTGATTTATATTTTGCAAGGTTTGGTCATAAAAAAGCAGCTTATATATTATATTTGTTGCCTTGGCAATAAACCTTAATTTGAAGAACTGATTGTTTTGAATCTCTGATCTCACAGATATTTTTTTTTGTCCTCTAACAAATGACTTTTGTAGCACATTTCCTTCCCCCAGTCCTCCCAGTAAGTTCCAAATTTCTGTTTGTTTGGGCAGTTTGTCCTTGGGCTGCCTGGTTTATAGCTCTGTCACCAAACACGGCACTTTTTTGCAGGGTCCATGTACTCTGTCGTGGTGCATGAAAAGGCCTCGGTAAACTCTGCAGAGTTCTGCAATGATCCTATGACCCTTTAAAACAAAAGCAAAAAGAAGTTGGCACCACTGATTCTCTTTATGACCCAACTTAAAATAAAAGCTAACTGTTATTTTCTGCATCTCAAAATATTTCAAGAAATATCCATAATTCTAAGCTTTTTCAGGTTATCCCCCTTTCTCCTCTAAAATTGTAGTGGCCCAACTAAATTTTTATTTTTCCAGTTTGCACATTTCCTATCACATACAAAAGAAGATGACCCATAGAAACACAGGCCTGATATTATTTCCATTGATGTCTGTTGGAGTCAAACTCTCATTGACATCATAGGAACAGGGTAATGGCCTTTCATTAGTTTTGGTGAAAAATTTTCAGACAGCTTCACTTGTGCTTTAAGTCCTCTGTAAAAAGTAGGTAAAACGTAGAGCTGGAGGAATATTGAAGAAGTTTTTTGTTAGTATTCGTTGTATTTGACTATAGTCACGCCCCTTTTTCTGGTCACTGTCCACAGATATTCTAGTGAACAAGTTTCCTGGAAGAAATGTTGACATAAACAGTAGATTTTAAGTGAATTTTGGGAAATACTAGTAAAAAGCAATTTTCAGATTTGTATTGTGAAACCTGATTCTAAGAATTACACCCCTCCCAGGGCAGAAATATACCTTGTGACCTATACATCTAGCCAAAACAACTCCAGTATTTAATGTCAGATATCAAATAGTGGCACTGAATTGATTGTGAAGCAAGAATTATTTGCAGAAATCATTTTCTGAATAATTTCAGTAACAATTAGATACAATATAATCAAGACCTGTCTGTGGAAATTGTGAGCAGTAATAGAGGTGAAGCAGTTTATCAGATTACATTTGTTACAAATTACTGGATCGGCTCTGTAAAATCAAAAGGGGAATATTTGGTAAGTATTGTCAGGAGCCATCAGCAGCACAGGGGACCAAATAGAAGAGATAAAAGAAAACAAAGATGGCTTTCTAGTAAGTGATCCAGCAAAGCCTTGACCAATCCCAGGGCTGGAGCCACTGAAGTGGGATTTTGCCAAAAATATTCTGTGTGTAATAAAATCTGATTTACAGCTGTCATTATTGTTGATCTATTGGCAGTGGAGAACAAATCCTGCTTGCTTTAGTTATGTCACTAGTACCAATAAGGTGAGTCACATGAGCAGGATTTGACTTGTATCTGTTATTATATCTGATTCGTTTTAACGTGGAATAACAATCAAATGCAAATTATCTGAAAAATTACTTCATTTCTTTTTCCTCCTTTAGTGACACCTAAATCTAAGGCTTCCTTTCACATTTGTTTTATTGTGGTTAGATATTGTATTCTATTGCTACATTTATTCAAATTGTAACAAATGTAATCTAATCAACAACTTCAGGTTTCTACAAGTTTCTGTTATTCCTCATCCAGTGCTCAAAACACCCAATCCATACATTAAAAACATATAATGCAAATAACAAAGCAACATAAAACTGCCCATCCCACCTTGACAGAGAAATAAATCAGCGCCAGCAAATGCAATAGGCATAAAATAAACCCATACATTTTGAGTCCATATGACTTTTTGATACAAAGTCATTAATATACTGGTAGTTTTATATATTTAAATTAAATATATTGTAGTTTTAGATACGATTCTAATATGTACAAAGATGCTTTATATTTTAGAGCTTTATGTTGGGCCTGATCCTGTAAATCATTCCAGTAATATCATTGAGATTTCTCATGTAAGATGACTTGTGTGAGTAAAGGTTTGCTGGATTAGGCACATTTTGTTTGTAGCCACCTATATAGATATAAAAATAGTAGTGAGACTTAACGTATGACACTGAAGCAAAGTGCATCCAAGTATAAATGCATAAAGACATCAAGCCGATTAATTTACAAGAACTAACGAACTGTACAAATTAATAACACAAATATGAGGCAAAGCTATAAAGAACTGCCGCAGACCCACACTAACATTGTGCCTAGATTCAGCGGATTGCAGGAGTTTTTAATATAATTGCCTTGGGGAGAGGTTTGCAGATTACACAGAAATGCCAGTTTAATGACTACCGTAGGAACAGTCACTGCTTTCACCAAATATTTGAATCTGTGGGATAAACAATAATTCTCTGGTAAAGAGAGGGGGTTAAGAAAGAAAGCCCTTTGGAAGTGATGTGATGAACTGTAGCAGAAGATAATGTGATCAGTGGGAGTGCAAGTGCAAGTACAATGATTTTTGTGGCTAGCACAGTTATTGTGGCATCTACCACTCTGACGAGACTTAGCCTATCGGATTTATAAGAACAAACACAGTGTTTTTATGTTGCTCAAACTGAATGTTGTGCTGGTTTAGGTTAAAATTTAAGGGTCCTAATCACCCCACACTGTCTGCAGCTTCTTGGCACCTAAGCCTCATAAGTAGGGCCCTACCAAATTCAGAAACAACAAGGAGTCTGGTGGCACCGTAAAGACTAACAGATTTATTTGGGCATAAGCTTTCGTGGGTAAAAATCTCACTTCTTCAGATGCATAGAGTGAAAGTTACAGATGCAGGCATTATATACTGACACATGGAGAGCAGGGAGTTACTTTGCGAAGTAAAGTTACTTTGCCCAAATAAATCTGTTAGTCTTTAAGGTGCCACCAGACGCCTTGTTGTTTTTGTAGATACAGACTAACACGGCTACCCCCTGATACCAAATTCAGAGTCCATTTTAGTCAGTTTCATGACCAGGGTTTTTTAAAATTAGTCAATTTCATGTTTTCAGATGTTTACATCTGAAATTTCAAGGTGTGGTAACCAAAGGTGGGAGGGTTGAAAGGCTATTGTAGGGGGGTCGTGGGATTGCCACCCACACTTCTGCCCTGGTGCTGGCAGGAGTGCTGCCTTCAGAGCTGGGCAGTCAGAGAAGAAGGCTGCTGACCGGGCGCCCAGCTCCAAACCCACTGCCAGCAGCAGCACAGAAGTGAGGGTAGCAGGGTATGGGAGCATGGGTTACTATCTCTGTGGTTTTCTCAGCAGTCTCCTACCCGAGTGCAGGGCTGGAGCTGCAGCCTCTGCGTGGGGGAGGGTGACAGCTGGAGCTGCAGCCTTTCCGTGCGGGGGAGGAGGGGTGACATCTGGAGCACCAGCCTCTCTGAGTGGGGAGGACACAGCTGGAGCCGTGGAGCTTCCTGCAGCTGGGGGAGATCCCAGAGGTGGGTCTGACCTGCCCTGGGAGCAGCCCCTGCAGGGGAAAAGGAAGTCAGGCAGCCCAGCTGACTCTTTAGACTGTCAGGAGTACTGAGCAAGTGCAGCTGCAGGGCCTTCCTCCTGACACCCCCTCACACACGGAGTCAGCTTTCTCCAAAATTGGTCGGCTTGTCAGGAGGAAGGCCCTGCAGCTGCACCTGCTTAGTACTCCTGAGAGCCTAACAAGTCAGCTAGGCTGGCTGATGGACCGCCCTGCCTGACTGGCTGAGGAAGCTAGCAGGCCGGTTCTTAAGCTCAGCAGGAGCAGTAGGTTGCTGGTTGCTCAATGCACATGTCCACAGAGTCTCTGCTTCCCTGTGCTTGTCTCTCTCCAAGCTCTTCTCCGCCACTGCTCCAGCCTAGACCCCGCCCTGCACCCAGTCCTGTCCCAGCTTTGCTCTTGCCTGTGAGCCAGCCCTACTGCTGCCTTCCCTGACTCTGGTAATGCAGTTCTGACCCTCGGCTCTGATTCCTGGCTCCCACCCTATCTTGCCCCTTGGGTCTGGCATTTGGACTCCTACCACTAGGCATGACCACCTATGACTCCACTCTCCATCACGCCACAGTGTGTGGGTCTGTTGTTGCTCAAGGGGTGGAGAATCTCTGTTACCAGCCTTTTTTTCTTCCCTCTTGTTAGGGATAGGGAGGGAACAGGGACCTTGTTTCCCTTGTGTTTGTACAGTGCCCAGTACAATGCTGCCCCAGTCCTGTTTGTGGCCTAGACACTGCCTCAGTATAATTAAATAATAATAATGTTGGTCTAGGGATACAGTCACACTGTCTGTGCAATACCAGTGAAGGAAAAGACCCAATCCAGACAATAAAAAACAAAACAAAAACACCCCTGGAGTTCTGGAGGGTGCTCCTGCTTCTGATTTGGTGTGATGCCTGCATATCTTTAGGCAACGAGCTCCCACAATAGAGAAAGGCCCATCCTCCTCCCTTCCATTATCCCTATTTGTGGAGAGACCATTTGATTTCTTCATCTTTCCCTGGCTAAGCCCTCTCCTCTTACAGCTGTCAAGAGAGACATACAAAGTGAAATCCTTGCCCCGATGAAGTCAGTGGGAGTTTTGCCATTGACTTCAGCAGAGCCAGGATTTCAATCCTAGCCTTCAGGCCACGCAGCCCTTTAAGTCACTTCCCTGTCTGTCTTTCGGCCATCTTGGGGAGAACCTTAGCAGAGGCTAGCTCTAACTTAAATGAACATGACCAAGGAGGCAACATGGAAAGGACACGGGCCTGGAAGTTTGCAATCTATTCCCGGCTCTGTCACTGACCTGCTGTCTTCATGTCACTTCTTTGTGTCACATCCATAAAATGAGGATAATGATACTTGCCCTGTTTTGTAGAGTGCTTTGATATCTACAGTGAAAAGCTACCTTACAGCGGAGGATGATGATTATAAACACTGACCTGAATTTGCCTGGGCTATGCGTATCAGTTTTAATGGAGTTGACAGCATATTCTGGACGGTACGTTCCACACCATATCTAGAAACATATCAGAAAGAAAGTGATCTGTTGTGAATAAGATTTTTCAGGAGAAGTGCTGCTTTAGTTTTATTATGAAACATTTAATGCTGGAAAACACGTTTCAAATTGGACCACAGTGAAAAAATGTGGATTCTATAAAACCCCACATACTGTAGTGCACTTTCACAGGCATTTGAGCCTAGCAGAATGTGCCTAGCAGACTTACTCCTGCATGAATTCAAGTGTGTGGCTAGGATTAACATCCTGTCTGCTTTGCTATGGCCACTGCTCAATTTAACAATCCTGCCAGCTCTTGTTAGAATGAGAAATGTCAGACTGCTGTTCCAGCTTACAGTGAAATTGTAACTCAAAATGATTTTCAAACCTTCAGTCAAGGAGGATACAATACCTGTGCAAAGTTCAGGAAGAACAGCTGCTTATGGTTCATGTCAAGCCCGGGAAGCAGTTTTTCTTTTCCATTTTTTTGGACAAAGTTTTCATAGGCCTGCAAAACGAATGGAGCAGAAATGTTATGGTTTCCTATTTCCCTTATCAAAATGGCACTATAATGAGAAGGAACATGGATTATTTGACATAAGACAGCAAGACTATCTTAGGTATCCTCTCTGGCTGAATACCACCCATGTGCAGAAAAAGAGGGGCCAGCATAGGAAAGAAATACAATGGCCTGATTGACCAGGGCCTGATTTTCCTCTCAGATCAGTTTTACAGTGGTGTAGTTCCACCAAATTCAGGCAGTTACTCCTGATTTATACTGGGGTAAGTGAGGGGAGGATTAGGCCCAAGGAATGCAATTTACTGATAGAAAAGGAAACACAGCGATATCATTGTCTCAGTAGGAAAGATGTGATTGCTGGTAATATGTCATGCCCTCGGCATCCAGATGTCATGCACCTTTTTATAGAAAAGATAATGTACAGGAGAAGAATTGTGCTTGTATGACAATAACAGTAGAGACTGTAGACAATACCTCTAGACAATAACCTCCCCACTTCAGCAAGCTTTACGTTAGTTAATATTTTATCAGATCCCATTTAACTGTCATGTACTCGCACTGCATTTCCCAGCATTACTAATTACCTATGGCTAGATCAGGCGTAGGCAACCTATGGCATGCGTACCGAAGGTGGCATGCGAGCGGATTTTCAGTAGCACTCACACTGCCCGGGTCCTGGCCACCGGTCTGGGGGGGCTCTGCATTTTAATTTAATTTTAAATGAAGCTTCTTAAACATTTTAAAAACCTTATTTACTTTACATACAACAATAGTTTAGATATATATTATAGACTTATAGAAAGAGACCTTCTAAAAATGTTAAAATGTGTTACTGGCACGCGAAACCTTAAATTAGAGTGAATAAATGAAGACTCGGCACACCACTTCTGAAAGGTTGCTGACCCCTGGGCTAGATTGTCCCCTGCCATGGTAAAAACCATGGCAGAGGGCTTCTGGGAGATTCCCTCATATCCAGGGCTTACATTCTTATAGAGTATTTCCTGAAGTCCTCCCCCCCATCTCTCTCCCAAAATCCTATAAAGACTCCAGGGGGGTTGAAAATGTTTACCGGAGTTCTGCTCCAGACAGCACCAGCTGAATTTAAGCCCTGGTCATATCATCTCCTTGTGGACAGGCGGATTGAACTTCCACAGAAAAGAGTGAGGGGCCAACTTCCAAATCTGGCAGGCCCCAGAGAGCCAGTCACATGGAGGCCCTGACCCTCAGCACTGTGGGCTTGTGCATGTTCCTTCGGAGTCACTCTAACAGGGACTACCCCACCATGGCCCCCAGAGCCTGGGGCTATGTAGAAAAGTTAATGCAGTCTGATGCTGTGCTGTCTTCCTAAAGTACAGTGCATGAGACCAGAATAAGGAGACGATGTTCATCTCACCCACCCACTCTTCCCCTCAGACCACCGCTGGCTAGGTGCATGGACAGCAGTGGGGAGTGGACTGAGCCGCTTCTGCACATGAAGGAGCCCTCTGTGCCTGGGCTCAAGGGGGCACAATCTGTCTCCAAGATGATTAGTGTATAAACAGAGGCTTTATTCTGCTGTTTAATCAGCTAACATTTCTAGCCTGATCCTTTCCATGATACTACAGTTAGAGCTGTGGTAACAAGTTTCAGTTGCAGCAAAAATCACCATCTTCTCCAATTTCACACAATACACAAATGTTATTCTGTTCCCAAATTCTTTGTTTTCTCCATGAATGTAAGTAATTTCAAGTTATT